TCTTGTAACTTTTATTTTCAAAAATCCATGAATAGTTACTGTCTTAATATTTCATTCCTTACACATAGTACCCATTCAAAAGTATTCGTTAAGTAGCAGTTTATATAAGGAATGAGCCACTTGCTAATCAGATTTAATAGAATTTTCTCTCTTTTAACTTTATAGATACTTGTATGAATTTTCACTTGCTCACTGAGCCATAATGCTCTATACAAACTTTGATTTGTACCTTTTAGACTAGTATATATTCACAAAAAATATCTAAAATTGGAACATTCCAAAGCGGAAATAATCTATTTTACTATTTCACTGAAGAGTGATTTGTTTTATCATCTTAAAAATAAAATAAAATAAAACCTTTCCTTTTACAGTTTCACTATCTTGTTACCGGTGTGTGGTTACTTGAGTGTTGTGTTAGATATGCTGTTAGAGAAGTGCTGACACAAAGTGCAAACAGTGTTGAGAAGTTATTGATAGTTTTCTTTGGCCATTTAAGATTACTATTCTTGACCGTGAATAAGTTTTGCCTCATTTTTGACCTTTAGTGCTTGTATAATGTTGTTTCTCAGTTTTGTACACCCCACTTCTCTTTTGCTCTCTCCTCTGTGGGCCTTTTCCTTTGACTCCTACTAGTGTTTCTGTCATCTGTTTAGGTAATTGGAACTACGACCATCCAATTTGATTTATTTTACAAGGCAATGTAGCTATAACACCTTAAAATGGATATGGATATTTAATTAAAGAAACTCAACCCTAGCAGGTACAGTGGCACATACTTGTAACTCCCAGCTATTCAGGAGTTCAAGGCAGGAGAATTGCCTTGAGTTCACGATTTCAAACCATTCTAGGCAACATAGCAAGAACCCTGTTTTTAAAAGAAAAACCAAAACAAAATAAAATAAAAAACCCCATTTTAAAATTTATTTTTCAATGTTTTACATATTCATTTGATACATTTTCTTGGGACATTTTTTGTTTTTGTTTTTTTTTCCAATTGAGAGTCTTTTATAATAGTAGTTCTATGGGAAGTTGATCTCATTCTCACTCTAGAGGCCACCCATTTTCAGTCTATTGGAAGTGTATTCCTTTCCTGAGAAACTTTGCTTATCATTTTCACTTAAAAAAAAAAAAAGCATGGTAAGACCTTGGGGTGGTTGTAAGATGGAACTGAAAAAATTCTTTCTTTGGTGTCGGGGCTGTATTTAAAGTTTTACACCTTTTATGTTTTTATATATGCGTAAGGAAAACAAAATAGTCAATATAAGCTTTTAGATGTTTGTTAACTTTAATTCTTCACTCCGCCTTTTAATATAAGTTGTGTTTATTTCCTAAGATTTAAAACTTAACTAAAAAAAGGTTACTCCACTACCAAAAGAAATTGAGTCCTAGCTACTCAGGAGCAGAAGGATAGGAGTATCGCAGTTTTTGCCAGCTGGGCCAAATTAGGTCATTGAGGCTCTGTCTTGAAAATACCTCCTAACAGAAAAGGGCTGGTGAGTGCTCAAGGTGTAGGCCCTCGAGGTTCCAAGCCCAGTACTGGGGGGGAAAAAGCCACAAGAAATTGATATAAAGTTAATTTAAACTTGATAGGAATACTGACTTTAGTAAAGAACAAGTTCCTAACCTCTAGCTTATAATACATTGTATTTTCCTTTAATTTTGATGCAAGTATTTGTGAAACTTGAATGCCTGTTTCTGCTTAAATTTTAGAGGTTTCTCAGATAATATTCAGTTTATTTTTTTGGGGGGCTAGGTTTTGACTCAGGGCTCCTGCTTGCAAAGCAGGCACTCGACTACTGGAAGCCATACCCCCAGCCCTTAAATGTCTGTTTATCCACTTAGAAAAACAGTTTCCCTTTGGTGTATATTACAGGCAGCCCACAACCACCCGACAGACCTGAGACAGCAGTTAGCTCTTCTCTTCTATTGGTCCTGGAAACAGTCTGGGCTGGCACGTTTAAGTGGCTCACAAGCCACAGAGGCCCCTGGAAGGCCGCATCTGCAGGCTTTCTCAGGACGCACTGACAAATGGCCCCACCCCCAAACTACTGGGCCTGCTGATGTGAGGCATGCCTGGCCACACCCAGAACATAGCTGCCTCTGCCTAGCTACAGAAACGATAATGATGAAAGCAAGAGGAGGAAAGTGAACAAGAGAGAGGATATTACAAGACAACCAGGAAAAGAAAAATTCAACTAAATACAGGTGGAGAGTCGGCTGCCTATCGATTAATTATTCTTGCATTATTAAGTGATTAAAAACCTCTTAATTAAAAAGATTTAGAATTAAGTAAATTTGCTAAAAAAAGAAGAAGCCCCAAATCTGTTGCTTGTAAGAAACTCAGGTTCCCGAAAAAACAATTCCATTTACAATAGCCTCAAAAAAAATCAAATACCTAGGTGTAAACCTAACAAAAGATGTGAAAGACCTCTACAAGGAAAACTATACACTTCTGAAGAAAGAGATTGAGGAAGACTATAGAAAGTGGAGAGATCTCCCATGCTCATGGATTGGTAGAATCAACATAGTAAAAATGTCGATACTCCCAAAGTAATCTACATGTTTAATGCAATTCCCATCAAAATTCCAATGACATTCATTAAAGAGATTGAAAAATCTACTGTGAAATTTATATGGAAACACAAGAGGCCACGAATAGCCAAGGCAATACTCAGTCAAAAGAACAATGCAGGAGGTATCACAATACCTGACTTCAAACTATATTACAAAGCAATAACAATAAAAACAGCATGGTACTGGCACAAAAACAGACATGAAGACCAGTGGAACAGAATAGAGGATCCAGATATGAAGCCACACAACTATAAGCAACTTATCTTTGACAAAGGAGCTAAAAATATACGATGGAGAAATAGCAGCCTCTTCAACAAAAACTGCTGGGAAAACTGGTTAGCAGTCTGCAAAAAACTGAAACTAGATCCATGTATATCACCCTATACCAAGATTAACTCAAAATGGATCAAGGATCTTAATATCAGACCCCAAACTCTTAAGTTGATACAAGAAAGAGTAGGAAATACTCTGGAGTTAGTAGGTATAGGTAAGAACTTTCTCAATGAAACCCCAGCAGCACAGCAACTAAGAGATAGCATAGATAAATGGGACCTCATAAAACTAAAAAGCTTCTGTTCATCAAAAGAAATGGTCTCTAAACTGAAGAGAACACCCACAGAGTGGGAGAAAATATTTGCCAACTATACATCAGACAAAGGACTGATAACCAGAATATACAGGGAACTTAAAAAACTAAATTCTCCCAAAACTAATGAACCAATAAAGAAATGGGCAGTGAACTAAACAGAACTTTCTCAAAAGAAGAAATTCAAATGGCCAGAAAACACATGAAAAAATGCTCACCATCTCTAGCAATAAAGGAAATGCAAATTAAAACCACGCTAAGATTCCACCTCACCCCTGTTAGAATAGCCATCATCAGCAACACCACCAACAACAGGTGTTGGCGAGGATGCGGGGAAAAAGGAACCCTCTTACACTGTTGGTGGGAATGTAGACTAGTACAACCACTCTGGAAAAAAATTTGGAGGCTACTTAAAAAGCTGGACATCGATCTACCATTTGATCCAGCAATACCACTCTTGGGGATATACCCAAAAGACTGTTACTCCAGAGGCACCTGCACATCCATGTTTATTGCGGCACTATTCACAATAGCCAAGTTATGGAAACAGCCAAGATGCCCCACCACTGACGAATGGATTAAGAAAATGTGGTATCTATACACAATGGAATTTTATGCAGCCATGAAGAAGAACGAAATGTTATCATTCGCTGGTAAATGGATGGAATTGGAGAACATCATTCTGAGTGAGGTTAGCCTGGCCAAAAGACCAAAAATCGTATGTTCTCCCTCATATGTGGACATTAGATCAAGGGCAAACACAACAAGGGGATTGGACTATGAGCACATGATAAAAGCGAGAGCACACAAGGAGGGGTGAGGATAGGTAAGACACCTAAAAAACTAGCTAGCATTTGTTGCCCTTAATGCAGAGAAACTAAAGCAGATACCTTAAAGCAACTGAGGCCAATAGGAAAAGGGGACCAGGAACTAGAGAAAAGGTTAGATCAAAAAGAATTAACCTAGAAGGTAACACCCACGCACAGGAAATCAATGTGAGTCAATGCCCTGTATAGCTATCCTTATCTCAACCAGCAAAACCCTTGTTCCTTCCTATTATTGCTTATACTCTCTCTACAACAAAATTAGAGATAAGGGCAAAATAGTTTCTGCTGGGTATTGAGGGGAGGAGGGGGTGGAGTGGGTGGTAAGGGAGGGGGTGGGGGCAGGGGGGAGAAATGAACCAAGCCTTGTATGCACATATGAATAATAAAAGAAAAATGAAAAAATAAATAAAAAAAAAAAAAAAAAAAAAGTAATTGTATGCTTAAAGAGAATCAATAAATGAGGCAGGAAAGCGTGTGGATAACAAACAAAATAGATAATTTTTAAGTAAAAAATTGGGTAAAAAGAATTAAGAAGTTTCACCA